AAAGTGGATAGTGTCTAGGTACATTTTGGTGAAATGTTTTTATGTGTGATGCAATACCGCTTCATATAAAATATTAAACAAGAATGACGTGAAATAAATTCTATAAACTATATATCATGGATGCCATCTCAACGGTTACGATAAGGAATGGAAGTGCATATATATAATTATACCAAAGAGAAGATTTAGGTATAAACTTATTAATAAATTACCTATATAATTAATTAATACGTTTTACAGTATTATATTTTGGTGATGCAAAATGCAGATGTCCACTACTTTTGAAAATATCAATTCAGGAATACCATTTTTAACGAATGATGTTTATATATCAGTTTTACGTGGTAACACCGAGTAGTTTTCTGATATTTAAAACTTGAATACTATTTTTTTTCCGACAGACTTCAGCGTATGGAGTTTTATGCTAGTTTCGTATATTGAAATGTTCCGTTTATGAATAAATATACATCTTTGCTAACGACGAGTATTATGATAGTGTCATTACTCTACTTACATCAGACTAAGATTTCCTTTGAAGGTAAATACCTTGATTAATGAACCAAAAACAAGTTACATTTCTCATGCACAAATATACTATTATATTATTCTATCTACAAACATTTCAATTATAACGTATCAAACGATAATTGTTTTGTATATCTACATCTTACCTATCAAGATTTCACTATCAACAAAGCCTACCTGTACATGGAATGACGTCACAAGGCACTTAAAGATATTAAGGAAAGCATAATACAATAAATAAATAAAAACTTACCCTCACAGTTGACTTTTTTAAAGATAGTTTGATGTCGTTTAAAAATGCTGGAAATCGCGTATCTTATAAATGGCTGTGTTTTCAATCAACTGAGCTATAACTGAAAAAATCATTTAATTTTGAAATCATCAATCATTTTCACAACCCAACCTAAAACCAGAATAGACGTTCTTGTTAAATAAATTGATAAATCACTTTAAGTATGTCTTTATATGAAAATAATATCTGACCTAATTACACACCAACAGGTTAATTATATCTTTTAATCAATTCATGTATAAATCAAGCCAACAGTTTTAGTGTTTTCATACCGATTCAATCAGGATTGTTGTGTTCTACTCAGTCAAGTCAACTCTGAGTGTTTCCTTCAAATTACTTCATAGTTTGATAGATAGATGGTGATTGGAATTTAAACAAACTGATAGCATACCATCATGCAATTATAAAGATGTTTTGAGTAGATTCCAGAGTACGCTTCCGTACGTTTTTGTCATCAGCCCAATCTCTCGCCGAAAACCCAGGAAATGAAACTCAATAAAGTACTCTTTTTTTTTTTTTTAGTTTTTTATTTTAGATTTCAGAAGAATTAATCAAGATGGCCATATTGGAGAAACACCATATGTCTTTCACATGAACATTTTCTATCTTGCGCCACAAATGCACTTAACTTGTTTCCAAATTAAGTTCCATTGTACAATACGTAGGTATACTGGCACAAAATTAGTGCGTGTACTTTTATAATAACATAATATCTCGTATTTCTTGAATCAAATAAACAATAATGCATGTCATAGTTAACATATATATCCGGCTAGTGGCTGTATATAGAGGGTCCGTGTACATGCTTACAACGTGGTTTAGTGCACGTTCTAGTGCAAATTAGGCAGCTTGTTAACGTGATATGTATAGCTTGTCATGTTATAGACAAACAAATAATTAGATCCCGTCTGGGAATGGGATATTAGAACTACAATCAGCCCTACTTTGTGACGCGTATATACTATCCGTTCCTTTTAATTACTTGTTGAATTATTAATTCTATCTAAGATTTGTTTGTAAAAAACTAAAATGACTTCCTGCAAAGGTACACCAGTACAAAAGCGAATGTATTACTAATAATGAATGAATTTGCAACATACAGCTTTTTCGTCCTCTTAAGACTCGTAAGTGTTACAAGGGACCCAAATTGCAAGAATCCAGTGAAATTATTCATTTTGGTAAATGCATACATATTGAAAGTCTCGTAGCTATAACCGCCCCACTTAAAATTTCTACCGAAATAATAATAATTTCAGTTGTTATAGAATATCAAATTAGCACATATTCGTTTTAAATTACTTTCTGTATATCATTTTTAAAATGTTAAAACAATAAGTACTCGCCTCGAATGTATTTGAAGATTGTGCAAAATATATACAAATGAATAACATGTTTTCATACAATTTACAATTAGATACAGTAGTGCCAAATAATGGATTGTATGATACAGATGTTGTGTCCTCCTAGGACTTGTCAGTGATGCTAAGGACCAAAACTTTAAAACCAAGATGACAAATGAGGACAATTCAAAATGATCGAAAGAAATGTTAAAATCTAGACTTATTGTCTGGTACAAATTACAAAATAGATTTGTTAAAATCAACAATTGGTGTTTGACACGATCAGATTGGTATATTTCCTATTGCCTTACACATTCTACACTTTGAAGTACGTAACAGGATTTCCTTAACTCCATTGACAAATGCTCATAGTACATATGTACGATATGCCCACCTACCATGGCGGTACCATCAAAGGGATTTTAAGTATATACTACATGAGTACACCAGCCATACGTTCTGTGTTCTAAATTGGTTTGAAGTGGTGACTACGAGAGGATAATCCCCATATGGCCATATATTCAGAAAGCAGGAGATGGAGAATGGCCAGCGATTAAAGAAAGCTCTCTGATGTTTTTGACAAATTATTCAATTAAGATTTGTAAAGGGTTGGTTTTGGCCTATTAATGGGAGATTTCAGGGGATCAATAGAGCACTGCTACGATATAGTCCACCACACTCGATACTACTGACAAACATGTACACCGGCTGGCTGTATGTCAACGACCCAGCACCCTGATATGTAGGTATATCATGTCAACAAGGCGAAGACCATATCAAATGTGATACGGCGGTGTAAGCTGACACCTGGCTATAATCGCAGTATATCCTCTACTAAACATCTCATATAAGACTAGGTCGAATATAAAAAAGAACAATATAAAAACGTGTTGATCATGTTCGTGTACTCAATTTTAATCATGTTAAGTGCGGTGCCGAGAACTGTTTGCGATGACTAAAGATGAGAGCATGACACCACTAAATAGCAAATTAGTTATCAATGTAGTGTATATATAATTACAAGTGAACCTATTTGAATTCAAACAGGTAAATAATCGCTCAGTTGAATACTTGTGAAAAGTGCACAAACATTATGTATAACCCTTGTTTTGTCAGTAATATATTTATCAGTGATAATGCCTATCCAACAGAAAGTCCTATTTCTTCAGAAAGCTATAATAATTTAATCTTAATGTAATTTAAGATTAAGATTGGGTAAAATAGGATAAATCAAGACATTTCAGTTTCTCTAGAGATAAGATTTATGACGATAATCTTAATAGACCTAAACCATACATATACGGTGGTAACCATGCTGCCTTATATCAATGACTAGTGATAGTTTAACACAGGTCTCATACTATTCCTGTAGGGCTATATATACTACAATATATTGTCCTTGATCTTACTATTGGGATTTATCAAAGTTTTGGAATTAGCGCTGTAGAATCGTCTTCAAAAATCCCACAAAAACTACTGAATGACTCGTGTTTTATTTTGTAACATAATCGGGCCTAGACCTTACAGACATCGATAATACTTGTTAAATAACATTGGTTAAACATAAAACATGATTCATTTTCATATTTGAAATCAAGATGTTTGATATGATATGCATTAAATATGAATGGATGATAAAGTAGTTACAAGAATGTCAACATGGTTCAAGCCACAGCATATGCATTGATATGTATTACATTGTTAGATCTGTATCCACCACAAACATTTACTATTTGGTCCATTATAGCTGATGAGAAGAAGATGTCCCAACCATAACACACACTGTGTGCACTTACACGGAACTAAATTGATCTCAATATGAAAACAAAACAATTTATAAATATTTACAAGTCTAAGAAGCCGTTCATACGTCTATACCGAAGTGATGACGTATATATCAGCGAGAAGGTAAATATTGACAAACCTAATATCATTGGAATATTATTTCTCAAAACATATAGAACATCTAGAAATGCACATAACCAACCAATCAGTCTGCTGTATTCCCTTAAACTATGTTGATTGGTCAAATATGAAATTTAATGGAGTATTGTGAAAGACCCATTCATCGCGATCAGTCCTAGTTATAAGGCATTGTCGACAATGAGTGGCGCATACCTGTGACAGGGACGACTGTTGATAAGAGGGAGCACTGTATTGGTCGGCGGCACTACAGCGCGGTTAAATCGTATTTTACGTTATCAATGAATGGTAGTAGTGAAGAGGTAGGCATGCATTGATTGTATTGTCAAGGTGTAGAGCGGTCAGAGCAGACCTGCAGGTTCATTCATTCTCTTTATACCAGCACAGGTATACAGTGAGTAGACGTTATAATACACACACAGTCATCGACAGACGCAGGAAGAGAGAACGGGGGTTGATCGAAGACATCGGGAAGCTAGAAAGGTACTGAGCGATCGGAAATAGTTGTACAGCACCAGATGTGATGATATTATGTACGGATGTTAGCATTCGCTCTATACTGATTGGAAGGTAACCCGGCAAACATGGATATACAGTTTGGACCGCACTTCAGTTGCTTCTGTAAAATAGTTGTACTCAAACGTATAATCTGATTTGTTTGATTAATTAAACAGGTTTAATATTTCACTTCTACATTTGGATCAGTAAGATTTGTATTTAACGAAGATTTCAACTGTAAAGCCGACATTACCTGTCTATTGCTGTTTTATTGGATGTTAGATATATCATATCAACATGTGGCTTATCCTTGGTTGTACCCGAGATGTAATGCAAGGGATTGCATTAATACACTGGATTTAAACATCAAATACAGCTAACTGCACACTGTGAAAGAAGGAGAAACACCCTAGTCATCAAACATGCATTACCTCAAGCAAAAAACGTTTTCTGTCATATTGGGTGTGTGTAATTTTATCCAGGTGTTAAGCGTTCTGCCGTTCATTACGGACAACAGTTCTGAACGGTTCAGTCTGGACGATGGACAATGGTCAAGTTCAGGAAACTTACGTGAGTCCGAGTGGGCAGAGGCAGCTTATAATTATGTGCACAACCTGGACTGTAATAATGTGTTTTTCACAACTGGAAAAGAGTGTCGGGACTTAGTAACGATTCCTAAATCCTCAATGGTGATACATATAGCCCCGAAAACTATTGTAGGTCGGTACAAAGCAATACTTCCAGATGAGGTTTTAAGCAGAAAAGAATCTTTTAATGGAGTGTTGGTCGTAGATCCGTACCCAAATGCTAACTTTGGACATTTAGTCATTGTTTTTGTGATAAAGGAGGAAAACAGGAATACCTGTCGGACGAAGGATGGAATATATATAGGTAAGATAAATATTGTGATATGCACACGTGTTTTACGCTTAAATATAGATTAAATGAGTAATTCGTTTTCAGAAATTTATTAAAAATGTACTTCGCCAATATGATGATTTTATGATACGATACAAAATCGTATTAAGTAAGCCATGAGAAATATATTTTATTATTTTGATGAATTCAAATTATATTCAAAATTTTACTTTTTATAAATTTTAGGTTCGTCGTAATAGGATTTAAAACCGTTATATTTAAAATTCAATCTCTGTGCTATTCAATGTACATATGTCAGTGGCAGATACCTTGGTGAAGCAGCCAACGTCCCTAACACAAACAGATACATTTATGATAACTCTGGCACGTAGCTGTTTTTTTCAGATTGTATGCATTTAAACTACGGTCGCTATGCAAACAAATATACATCAATAGACGGTTTGACAATGAGAAAACGACAAAAAACTACTAATCTCACAATAGGTTAACACATTTAAAAATAATTTATTTCACGTCAAAAACGTTAAACCCTACCATAGCAAATCCTGTGTTTGACTCCTGTAGCTTTGGGAATGACTTGAACGCTAAGGATGAGAAATATGTAAAAACGCTTAAAGGTTTGCTAAAGTTCTAATGATAGCCTAGACCACAGGTGGTTAATAATATAACATAAGACATATTAGTAGCTGCAGGTGAATTGGAAACAGTGAGCGTCTTGTAACATTCTTATAACCACTGTTGGTATGGAATTAGCACTCTGTGTAGGGTGCCATCACGGCAGTTTGGTATCTCTATGCTTTATAATAGCAGTGTTTAGGCTGGTTGGGGTGTGTATCGTACCACATGGACTTGATACGCCCGAGCACTTGACGGATTGAAGGAAAGGGAGAGCCCCTTGGAGGCGTGGGTCACATCCCCGACCGCAGACCACCTACGATCTCTTGTCTGTTACACTCTAAAAACCATAACTATCAAATTCGGTTTCCTTCATGTCAGCACATCCTTATGGATACCCAAGTGCATTAAGGATCCGGATCGACAGGTCAACATTTAAATTAACAGAGTCAAAGAAGCATGCGTACACAAGGCCTGTACACACGCTGTAACCCCGAATACAATTTATTTCCTACCGCTTGTCCGAGTACACACCCGGATCGACACCTTCACTTCAAGTACGTTTCCTCACACTTTTTCGAGTACAACACCCCTCTCGACACCTTAACACCACGCACAAATAGTTATACAGGCCCACCCGTATCAACACTGTCTTCCCTAAATACAATCAATCTCCTGATAATATTCTGAGTACCCAAGCAAACTTCATTTCCATCACTAGTCGACGCCTCTTCTAAACCCATATCTTAGAGTACAATTCATTTCCTAACGGGGTTTCAATACATATTTTCATTAAAACTGTTAGCCCTATTTTCCCTTCATTTCCTAACAATATTTGAAGTAGACATCTCCACTAAACCCATTAACCCTAGAAAACTTCAATATTTAACAGTATTTTAAGTAGACATCTCCACTAAACAAATTAACCCTAGTACACTTCAATATTTAACAGTATTTTAAGTAGACATCTCCACTAAACCCATTAACCCTAGTACACTTCAATATTTAACAGTATTTTAAGTAGACATCTCCACTAAACCCATTAACCCTAGTACACTTCAATATTTAACAGTATTTTGAGTACACATCTCCACTAAACCCATTAACCCTAGTACACTTCAATATTTAACAGTATTTTGAGTACACATCTCCACTAAACCCATTAACCCTAGTACACTTCAATATCTAACAGTATTTTGAGTACACATCTCCACTAAACCCATTAACCCTAGTACACTTCAATATTTAACAGTATTTTGAGTACACATCTCCACTAAACCCATTAACCCTAGTACACTTCAATATTTAACAGTATTTTGAGTACACATCTCCACTAAAACCAACAACTCTAATATCTAACAGTCTTCTTAGTAAATGACAAGGTCAGGGTTCACCTTCTGACTACTAACACAATTACGGTTCGAATGATGACAGGATAAAAGTAAACCTTTTGACAGGGGTAGGGTTAAACGAATGACAGGGTAAGTGTAAAACTACAGACAGGATTAGGGTAAAACTACTGACAGGGTTAGGGTAAAACTACTGACAGGATTAGGGGAAAACTACTGATATGATTAGGGTAAAACTACAGACAGGATTAGGGTAAAACTACTGACAGGATTAGAGTAAAACTACTGACAGGATTAGGTTAAAACTACTGACAGGATTAGTGTAAACTACTGACAGGGTTAGAGACAAAAAAATATTGACCGAATTAGGGTAAAACTACTGACCGAATTGGGGTTAAACAACTGACAGGAAAAGAGTAAAACTACTGACATGATAAGGGTAAAACCATTGACAGGATTAGGTTAAAACTGCTGACAGGATTAGTGTAAAACTACTGACAGGATTAGAGTAAAATCATTGACAGGATTAGGGTAAAACCATTGTCAGGGTTAGGGTAAAACTACTGACAGGATTAGGGTAAAACTACTGACAGGATTAACTACTGACCGAATTAGGGTAAGATTACTAATAGGGTTAGGGTAAAGCTACTGAAAGGATTAGGGTATGCCTACTGACATGGTTAGGATACTGCTACTGACAGGGTGAGGGTTAAACTTCTGACCGAACTAGGGTAAAACTACTATGAGGATAAGAGATTTGAAATATTACTATTATCATATATGCATCATTTTGATGTTAAAGGAAGGGATGGGTCGAGGTTATATTAAACATACATATGTATCATGATGGAAACTAGTTTGTCTATTGATAGTATCACTGATTAGGTAATGTCCATTTCAGAATATGTAACCTGATTTACTACAATGTTAAAACAGATAGCTGTCAGGAAATGCACTAAACATTATGCGTTGAAATGACATATTCAGTTTTTAAACTCCATCAACGGTCTATTTTAAGGAACAACCCGTTCTATTTCAATAGACGCAAAGTATTTGACTTCCGTCTTGACAACTGCAATATATCATATAGACCAATGTATCTAGATCGCATGGAAGCATATGACGGCAAAGCGCCTGTTTCAAGTCATTTATCCGCCAGTGGGTATAAACTGATTTGCTACATATACAATCTACTCGAAGACAGCTTCTGTTTGGCAATCTATAATCAACCGCTTCGTTGATATTTTATACACTGTTTTGTCAACTGCGTATGATGCATTTGTTACATCTACAAATACTCCATAAGAGAGAAAAAAATCCAAGTAAACCAGATTTATTTCTCCAATTCTGGTGTTACAGACCCGTTTTACCTTCATGTGATTGACGCAGGTCGGGCTGTCGTTTATAGAATAGTGAACTCCAGAAAGCTGTGTAGTTTCGTTTCCAGTTGTTTTATGCAAATTTCATGTGTCTGTCTTAAGAAATTTGTGTATGTTTTTCTCTTCCTTCAATGTAATTGTACACAGCAACAAAGGGGAACTGTTAGATGGTATTCTCTGTGATTTCGCAGTCAGTATTCATGAAATGCTGGAATGTGCGTCCTGGTCCAACTGTTGTGTTGTACCACGTCAATGAAGCCATATGATCACTGAGTCAAGGTAGACATCAGCGTTCGGGGCACGTAAGGAACATTATCGTATGCAGAGTGTTTCACATCGTGTTCACAGAGGATTTTCATTATAAGATTATGAGTAAAGAACATCGTATATATTTTTATGATAAAATGGCATTAGGCGCACGTTCCGGCCAGCGTATATAACGGTTGCCTACTGTTCCATTACTGGCCTGGTGTATTTTACAACTCATTTTTTCACTGAGAATCCGCATTCCCAGATGTGACTAAAGTACACCTAATAATCACAAGCAAGATAATACTCAGATTTATGTTTTTGTATATAGGGAAACATCAAAGTTTATCTGCCTTTTTTCACCTGAAAATGAGATTCTTAATGTACTTGGTGTACTTAAGGATCACATATCTTCAACAGGGTCATTGCGTATTATCGGGGAATAATATATCATATTACATAACATTGAGCACAGCGTCTAATGATGTATAAACATCAAGAAATTGATATATAAATTCTTTTAGGAAAAAAGAGATTTAGTAACGATTCTTTGATGTTAAATAAATCTGACTACAGAAGTATTTAAAGCATGAAACAACCAATAAATAAATAGATAAATAAAAGTAAAGAATAAATAAAGATATGAATAAATAATGACATGGAATTAATAAAGATATGGAATAAATAAAGATATGGAATTAATAAAGTTATGGAATTAATAAAGATATGGAATTAATAAAGAATGGAATAAATAAAGATATGGAATAAATAAAGATATGGAATAAATAAAGATATGGAATAAATAAAGATATGGAATTAATAAAGTTATGGAATTAATAAAGATATGGAATAAATAAAGATATGGAATAAATAAAGATATGAATTAATAAAGATATGGAATAAATAAAGATATGAATAAATAAAGATATGAATAAATAAAGATATGGAATAAATGATTAAATTAAGCCTTAATAAGCCTGACAAAGGGTTCCCAGTACGGTTCGTCATAAAAATGATATCATATCGTTCAAGAAATGTTTATTTTACATTTTGGAGAAAATTTGACCTCCAGTGTTTTGAAGGTAGTCATTGGGAGGTTGTATTGATATCTGCAATATTTATATCATTGTGTACTTATTTTGAGCGCCCAGATTTATTTGCCTCCGTTGTTATCAATTGGTTCATGATACATGTTATTTTTATCATTGTCTTTCGCTTTCGTCGTTTTAAATTCGTGTCTCTGTCTATGCACTATGTGATACGTTACTTCAAACACGTTCTCACGATTTCGCACCAGTTATTCTGAGCACTTGATACCGCATATTGTCAGCTACAATACTCGGGGCGGAGAATCTATAGCACGCTTTTCTGCTTCTCATGTGAGAATCGAGCGCGCAGAGAGCAGGGACCCAGTCCTACCAGGTCTCATTTGCTTAATGACACTCGAAACTAAATTTCAAGAAGTGGAAATATATCTGAAACATTTGTTATTTGTTCATTTTTACTTTCTGGAGGGGAAAATAGCAACATCCATAACAATCATATGTTGTTTTCAAATTTGTGATTGTATAATTATTCAAGATTAAAGTGTATCTGAAAATTTCGTTAAGCCAATAAGGCTTTGTACCACCGATTGCTACCATTCGAACTGCGCGAATGGTCTCTTTTGTGTACATCCCATGTCATGCATATATGCATGGAAATTTAACCTCACCCTGTTATTATAAGATCTTATTTCTAACATAATTAAGCCCTCAACGTCACATTGAAATAGATTAGGATTGTGACGAGATTGGGTTGAGAATGTTTAAATTTCAACATCAGCAAGAAACCCGCCAATTATGCTCCCTACTGTTAATCGGTTTTTCATTTCTCCTTTGCGGTAGATGACTACTGTTCGGTGTTTGAGATATACATCTATTCCACAGTAAATATCATCCATACAATCTCATATACAAATTCTATCACTTTAAAAGTGACATAGTCTCTTTGTTGGGGTCAGCTTCTCGCCCTCTAGGGTCATTTTGAAGCGAAATATCCTCGTAGTAACTGCTAGTATCTCAATGAACGTCATACGGAAGGCCAGTCTCACGTCATTCACGGCAATTGTGGTAACATTTCTTGCCACGATATAATACAGCACTGGGCAGCCCATTAACACTAATTTGTTTATAAGCATGTCTTAACTATGTAGTTTGAGAAAATAAAAAGGAAAATTTTACCACAGGACATCAGATAACATTAGCGCTAGATTTAGAGAAAAAAGTGTCAAAACCACTGCACAGCTCCCGATTTCAGTGAATGGTACAGGTGAAACATCCTACAACATTAAGATGTAGTAAAGAAATGCATCAGCACACTTTGCTCGTAAATAATTAATCTTTATGATCACAAGCAACACAATCTATTATTGAAACTCTGTATTTTAATATCATGTAATACTACGTCTTTTCCCTCCCATACTCTATGTTTTCTGGTTATGTGTATACAGTAACAACCAAACCTAGTCACTTTTAATCGTTATTTTCATAATGTCCTGATACATATTTACACATGAGATAGCGTAAGAGGCGTTTGAAAATAACACACATACCGTTGTTGAAGACGACATTGCGCTTCACGTTACCTAATACATTGTTGATGAGAATCTGTCTGGTTAATAACCTAACAATACTTGGTCCCGCAATCAAATTCAGAACTGAGGAATGTCGACCTTTTGTGGACAGGATTTCGATACTTATTTCATGCCAATTAGTTCGTGTTACCGGGACAGTTCACAATAACGCATACGTATACTTAATTGGCAAGGAGGGACCAACATGAAGACGTTATTATTTGTCGATATATCAGGAAATATTTCAAATCGTTTTTACAAAGGCAGATATTGTCTACCGAACTCCCGAATCTTACCAACAGCCGAGACAAAGTGACTCACAAGCCACACGACCAAACACAAACCAACCCACAGCGGGGGTAGAAATCATTTAGTATCTATCATTAAATCATTTTTAACAAACCTCCTGACAAAGAGGTGTTTACTTAATTTAATGGAATTACAATATTTCAAATGAGTTTTGTTTGTAGAGGTTTATTGTTGCCCTTTAACATTTTCTTACCTACCCCTTGGACCGAAAGTGATTTCTCTAGTCGAATCTTGATACCACTAGAAATGGTTTAGGTGAAAAAAAAATCTCGGATATCTAAAGCAGGTATTGCCTCGAGCAAATGACTTACAGGTAAACACCAACTAATACACACATAAAGAATACAAACATAATGTGTTATATATTAGGGCAGAATTTGTTTTATTTACACGGGGTTTGGCTATCGCCTATATAGTATAAGGGCTATCCACATATCCGTTTTACACAGCTGATGGTTTAATACCCAGCACGTTGTGGTTAGCGAGGGAATTGAAAACATTAAATTCTCAAAGGTAATCCAAGTCATTTCTTATCGGGTAACAACAGGGTTAGCACAAGCTTTGAGAGGTCCATCATATCTTTACTCGTTTGTCACTGTGTATACATTACCAACATCAAAGAGGCCGACACTCTCGTTAACACAGAGGGAATGTACGTCGATGCAGACGGCACAGAATCATCGCCTTTCCTCGGGCAATTATCCAATTATCCCTGTATATACTACACGTATATACCTACGTTCACAACCACGGGTGTAATGCCGAATAGAAACCGAATTTGTTTTTGTTTTTAGAAAATATTTTTCAACGACACATTTTCATTATTAAGTACAGATCCTGTGATGTCATATATGTTATAATTTGAATCACTTTTGTGTTATATTTGTCTATTAAGGTGACACATTACTTGTTTTTCATTACCCTATATACAATGTTAAGTTTGAAGTGTATTGTTGAAAAATATAATTTCGATTTTCGATTTATTTAGGATTATCTAATGTTTTATAAGATTTGTAAAACTTTATAAAGATATAACAAATACGGAAAGGATTAAGTTTTAAATTTAAATTTGAGTGTGGCAAATCCGCCTGTTGATTTAATCTTAACACACCTTACTGCAGGTATCAAAATAAGTGACATAATTTATTTATGAAAAAATGGAGAAATATTTTGAATATCAGAAAAAAAAGATGCAAGCTTCAAGCCTTATATTTGGTAATCCTATAGATATACAGTAACGCATAATGAATTGCTATTGCACACTTTATTTACACGTTAACTGACTCTCCGTTTCCTGTCATGAATATATCATTCGAGTTGATATACGGAATAATCAAATTCCTTCTTTCATGTTCACGTGAACCATTAACATGAAACATCTAGTGGACAGGTGCAAATATCGCATGTGTAAACCATTTATTTTTATAGGGTATTAAATAAATACAGTTGTATTATCACATAGGAAATAGCATTATAGAATCTATATCATGTTTTAAAAGAATTTATCTAAAAATATGGCTAAATATTTTTTTTTCTTATTTCTATCATGCGAAAATTCAAAGGATGAAACAAAATAAAATCATCAGATTCCGCGTTATAAACAGCTGTGGGTTTACATGTTGGATTGAGCTAGTCAGAATCATTAACTATCAAATAGGGTCTGTTTCTTTTATACACCGCCAGAATGATACCAGACCCTATTAGCTAGAGTATTAGAGAGACAATAGGATGGGGCAGGTGCCCGACATGGCTGTAAGGGCCAGACACTACTAATGAGAATGACACGGATCAAATACACTCGTTACTATAATGATTAGTCCTATGACTCATCATATCTATTAAACATATACACAATTACAGGTATACCACAGTAGTAATTGGGTAATGAAATCGAACAGAAAAAAAATCTGAACGTATTCTCTGTTATGTCTTGGCTCACAGCACTATCAGCAAAACATATGCATCTGTACAGAAGCGTACAACATTGCCCATGCACAAAATGCACTTTTATTACCGAACACTTATGAACTCATGGCGCATCTCATTAAATTTCGGTAGTCATCTGTTTTCTATCGTCCATACTAATCCTTAAGAATAAATCTGCCCTTATTGACCCACCTGCACAGGGACACTTTTCCACGCGGATGTTGAAACCAGGTGAACAACACATGTACTTTGTTAAATTAATGCGCTTTTAATGTCCATAGTGAACACCTGTGGCGCATATTTCTTTGAACCCTCTAATGCAGAGGTAAGGGCCGTTGTTCAATCCGATTGTGAACTGGGACAAATACAAGGGCGCTGGGCCGAGTTCCTGAACAACGGCCAACATCGCCACATAAAAGTGAAATGTTTGTTTAGCATTATGTCTACTGCTGAGTTATATCCAAAGTTACTGTTTAACTTCTAATTTAAATACATTATAGTCGAATTTCTCGTCATGAAGTTGTTCTTTGACTACTTACCACAAAACATCGATAACCTAAGAGAAATGTACTGAATCACAGCGTCGGTTTTCGAATACAAAAATAGTTTACAGTTATACACCCCTGCTGTGGCTAAACAAGTGGCGTGTCTATATTCATTACCATCTTTCTTTATATTCTCCTTAATTTCATTCTTACACAGTGTAAACAAATTATTTTTCTAAAATTGGATCTTCCAAAAATAACTCGAGAATTCTTGCCCTAAAATGCATTCATTTTTAAAGAATTAATAGCATCCGTTTTTAATTATAAAACTAATTAATTTTAAGACATGTACATTGCGATGTAATTAGAATAAATAACTAAATTATTAATTATTCACGGCATGGTTAATGACTTACAACATGGCTTATATCTAACGATAACATTTCAATTTTATGAAAAAAAAACCGTATTGCTTACAACTTCCAGGAATGATACAATTTAAAGATATATGCCAACATTGGTGGTGATTTTGCATTAAACATTAATTTAGCATGACTTTTTGAAATTGTCATATTTTTTTATTGATTTCGGACAGCACAGAACTTTCGCGTTATATTTATGAATTTATATTTATATATATGAATTTTATAATGTTCGTTCCCTCCATTTATTAGAAGTAAACCATTAAAAATATTTTCTCTCATTTCAGAATCATCAAGAGATTGTTTAACGCTTGCTTTAAAACGCCGTTGTAAGAACGCTATAAAGAGACATGGCCGACGTAAGCACCATGCAAGACGTTGTGAGATCAATTTTCTTCCTGTGGTACATTTCGACACGGGTAGAACGCAAGAGTTATATATGGAGCCGAGATATAATTTTCTCAAATGTTGGAAAAATAAAGATGGATTTGGACGGTGTCCGGAACTGAGACCTCTGAATGAATCCTCAGAACTAATTTGCAACCCAATCAAAGAAAACACCAAGCGGTGTTCAACAACTCACGAAATGGTGCACACGACATGTAGGATTTTTGAAATTTGTGACCAGGCGGTTCTCGTGTCGGGAGGTTGGAATAGACAAACCACGGGGGTGAATCACAAGCACAACCTAGAACGATTCTATTGGATGTTACGACAATATTCGTTCAAAAAACGAAACATCAACATATTCTTTGCGAACGGAGCTACCGGCATCAATTGTAAGTACCATGTTTGTTAGTCTAATTAAGATATAGGTACTGTAAACTAATCCTTTTTTCATCGTGTTTGATTTTTGTTCATTTCTTCGGTATTATAAATTAATAAATTCATACGTCCACGATAAACTGCAAAATCTTTTATGGATATTTATAATCAATGCGTGTACTATTTACAAACCAACTGATATGCCAACGATATATTTAAACAACAAAAAAAATTGAAATTAGAACTCCCCAAATATGAAGTGATTCTGCAGTGTGGCTACGGAGTGCATTTGTAAGTATGTGATAACATTTAACCTAGAGGGTCAATGCGATGAAACCGAGATGCCTGAAGATGTTTTCTTTCTGACGTAAATTTGCCCTTCATTCCAGTATATTTTAGCAATTCAAGTAATCATCCTTTATTCACACAATATTAACACTCAAACAGTAGGCGAGGTGCAACGGTGTTAAATCCACTTGAAATAGAAGCATATAGCATTACAAAGCCGTCATTGTGTAAACAGCGTAATGTTACCTGCTAAATGCTCAACCCCCAAATCTTGTCTTATCTACTTGTTTGCTTACTGTGTGAGGAATTTGAAGGGCTGGGAATGAAAGTTAGTAGCAGTTAAACCTAACTGTAATACAAAAGTGTGTACTCCATTTTCTAAGTACTTATAGTAGATTTGGTTAAATGATAGGTATTTTTAACAGTACGTGTCCTAGTTTTCATTGATAAGTATAGCTAAACTGGCAACACAGTAGCCATTCTACAATTTTATATCAAGTTTTATATAACGCATTTGACATTTCCAGTTATTATCAACACGTAAACATTTTAATCAGATGTATGTAAGACTTCATCAACAAACAATATTGTACAGTATTATGGTCTTCAGTGATGGAATATTCCAAATTTATCAAATTGATACATATTAATTTTAGTGAACCTTCTCACCTAAAAGTTACAATTCATTTATATACATCGATGCCGATTTTCATAACCTTCCTTCTAGAATTTCACACTTTCGCCCCTAACATCACAAGTCATCGAAAGACAAAAACCAGCATAAAGAATCATAATCCCAACACAAATTCAATAAAACTAGGGTTACATATGAACAAAAGAAAGATTTACACAGTGGCCACCCGAACAAGTACAAAAAGAATAACAACTGGTGTACCGGAAGAGTAAGCGTCTTATGTTTAATTGGCGACACCCGCCATGTTATTCTTGTTCAGTCCATGTAAATAATGGCACGTTCTCCAATTATGAAAGTATACAACATCGGAACCAACAAGCAAACTAACGAGCATCAAATATGTCCGCCTTCATATCACAAAAAGAAATCGAATATTTCTCAATGAGATCACTATGACGACGGTTAAACTTCCCTAAAATAAAGGTTATACAATAGTTATATATTGTTGAAGCCAAATTACTAAGTATTTGGCAACAAACAAGCTGTTACAATCTTTAAAACATTGCATGAGTGATACGTTCTTGTTTGCTTTGTTGGCAACCTTCATCTGAAATACTCTTACATGATGTCCTGACCAGTGACACAGAAATAGTTTTGAAGTATGAAACACAAATTCTGAAATAATATTGGAAACATCCCCGAGGTATTCTTATTTCTATAGTGATAAAGATATCTACTGTAATCTGTAGATCCAGGTCAACAGGTCATTTGGCTGATGAAACTGTTTGCGCATGCGTATAATTCACTGTGTCAATCAAATGGGTTGATGGCGATAATATGAGCCGCACGCATGGGACTTTGCTTGAAGGCCACGCCGTAGAAATTTCCAACATATTCAAGATCAAAGCACATTTTGTCATTATCGTGATTTGGTGTCATTAATATCAAGCCGATCTCCATTGATAGTAAAGAGATAAAACTGTCTCTTTAATGACGATATCTATAAAATTGGACCGTCGTATCAATTGTTATTCCAAATATAACAACCCGTTTCCAACCGCGCTATAATTAAATTATAAATTGATGACCTTTTCAGAAATGGAACCTACTTCAAAGGATGTCCAGCATTTGGTCAGTTGCTAATGCGCGAAAAACGCTCAAGGGTGCATAAAAATATAAAACGGGTTCGTCCTGTTAACACATGGTGTGAATACAACAGCAGAGGGGCTCCATAAGATGAACCATTTCTCCAAATACCGTTTATGGACACCATACCTTAAATAAAGACGTATAATTCAGTGAGATATATCGATATTGATGACAAAATATCTCAAAAGATCAAAATGTATCATATTTACTAAAGCTACACGTTCCTAAGTTAAAAAAAAATTGACTTCAGTTTGGAAACCATTCAGAATAGAGACAAGGGCCAGTCTGCACTCTGTGTACAGTAAGACAAATTTGCAGTGGTAACTGAAACTAGCTCAGCGATCCGATATTCAGGTGTAATGCTCCCTCTGGTCCACGATAGCCTGAATGCGTTATAAAGTTTGGCTTAAGGTATCGAATTATTTGAAAATCCAGTCATACACTCATGATATGTTACGGCAGATGTAATCTTGATTTGTTTATCAACAATGTGCTTATTTTTTTTGGGATTAATCACGATATTTATGAATGCATGTGCCTAGTTTGCAGCTATGTGTTTTTAGCCGACCTACTACAATGTAAGTCACAATGTGTATAAGTTGGCATCGTTATTCGTTGACAATATATTTCATATTGGAAAACATATTTCATTTGATAACATGCAACATACATGCATTTAATGCATAAGAAAACCTTTTAAATAAAATATATGAATAAAAATTGAACTTAAAAGGGACTACCTGCAGTATATAAAAAAAATCGTACATAAATAGATTTTATCCACCCCTTTAATAGTCATTCTATCACTGGTACTAATCCATGTTTAAACATTCTTGATTAATTGGACCAAACACTTTAATTACCGGAAAAATTGTTAATGCATAATTAAGCATTTACTTATCAAAATACAAAATAAAATCCAATAATTTACCTTTTAAACGAAATATTGATTCGTAGATTGTACAACTCTTTTGTTTGAACTTGTAAAACCATAGTTTTTTGTGTGTTAACATCATACATAGCGTGTAAGCAATGCGTATATTTAAAAATCGTTGAATGTATCCAACATATTAGAAATGGAGCGAACCGGTAGATTCATTGTTTATAACTTTGTATGACTAGAAATGAAATTTGATAGGTTGAATTTCATTTGTTTATTATATGTTAACTGACCATACGTATTAATTTCAAACTTTGATCTAGATAGCAACGGTTTCAAATACCACACATATACAACACGAAACTTAAACACTTTGGGGACCAAGAAGGGATATTACGAATAAGCTTACACTAGAATCAGGCAAAACACACACAAACATATAAAACGATCATAAATGATGGAAACGTTTAACAGTTTTACAAAAAAAGAGAGAAAACTATGCGTACGTGAAAGTGTGAACCTTTCAATTGAATACATATATATTTGTATATATATATATTCAGCCATAGCATTTTTTATTTTTATTTTTTTTTAATTTTTGTATGTTTTAGAAAACTCCATTCAGAAAACCCGTAGACCCTAGCGTGAGAGCGTGATATTTTCCGGCCAATTGAGGCCATGCATAATTTCGTGAATGAGTGAAAAGTTTATAATGGGCGAGCAAACGAGCGTGAGAATTTCCGATAACGATAGTGGGCGGGGTCAAGTTTTTACAACGCTATCTTTTCTGCCTGATTAACATTATAAAGGTAAACGCAATGCTGAATTACTTGCATGAAATGAATGCTTTATATTTGTACACGTTATTGAAATGGCGACATCCCTTATAGAAATCACACGCCATGCAATCATGGCAAGTGATGATGAAATGGCTTGTAAACGGAAATCCATTGCCGAGAAACTATATGTGGGTACATCATGTTTTTAAAAGCGTTGAAGAACAGACTGCGATTTTTTAGCGCCTCGCACCATTGCCAACAGCGTATGAATTAACCCCTAAAATTCCGTTTTTCCATATCTACCCCGGAAATAGGGTCGATTATCTGTATTATGTTTTGACGAGATCATCAACTTCAAAGAAGTTGAACATGATGCATTAAGCAAGTTCCTAGTACCAACTTTCACAAATGTTGAGTGGTTGTATTAAGAACAACAGGGAAGGTCAACTTCAAAGCTAGTATATTAAAAAATGTGTTACGGAATGTTTCCATAATGGTGTATTTGATAAGAAAGGTGTACCACTGAAGAGACTGGTACAGAATATAAGTGGATAAATGATAATTAGACGCCAGAACGGCTTTGCGCATTAACAAACACCATGCATATTCCAAATTAAGTGTAGCTCATTCATTATGATGATAGCCTTGAAATATATATAGAAGAGAAAATAATTTAATAGACTGGCATTTTCTATTTTTGGTTGCTGTTATTTTCAATTAATTTCTAAATTTATCAACATGGCAATATTATATACAGACGTTTTAAGACCTTGATTTCTTCCTCCTAATCTCTCTGAATAAGTGCCGTTGGAACAAATTAATGAATTAATTGATATCAAATGTAATTTGTTTAAAAACAAATTGGAATCAGGCGATATGCTGAAAAATCCTATCTTTTCAAATACACTTATCTTAAAGGTTTTTATCGTATAAGCGATTTCGACACAATTCAAAACATTGAATTTTCCCGTTTTTTGTTTCATCTACCATTTACGTTTGTTGTTTTCATCTGAATATTTATATTTATTCAATGTATAAATGCCATCATGACACCCTGTCTACAATTATAATTCTTCGTGTGGCTCAAATTTCATGTTTGCGTTTCCAAATAGTTTCATTTCTTATAAGTGGATGGATAATTTACTCAAGTAATCCGTGTTTATTCAGGATTTAAGTCATTTTTTAAAAGATAACTTATTTGTATACAAGAATTCGTTGAATAAAGTTACCTGGAAAATCGATAAAAAATCAATCCTTTAAGGAAGATCAATACTGAGATGAAATGACTACAGTAATAAAACACGATATAAAGAAACACTATGACAATGCATAATTCTAGGTAAATATAGTCACAAATAAGTCATTTATCAGGATTTAAATACTTCTAACTTGTTATGAAGCTAGGCGCTTTTTGACGATCGTTTGTTTTCCCGTTGGTTCCTTTGTTGTTTACTTTGTTCTAAGATCACTACGTGATATTACTTACATGACTTGACCACGATTTACTTGGCGAGTGAAGAAACAGAAGACGCTTACTCTTTTGAAACACTTTATCTTTTCAAAGGTTTCCGTGGTTTTTTTTTTCTTTGTATAAAATTTTAATCTTGTTTTGAAGTTTGAAGCAAAATTATGTTGACATGTCGACGATTTTTTTATTGTTTTTATTTACCACAGATTGACAGTGGTCTTGAAGCTGTAAATATGATTTTGTTTAATGATAAAGCCGTGTGCTGTGATATGACATTGTAAACATCTTACTTAACGATATATATTTATCATATAAACTGACCTGAACATCGAAAATACCAACATGGCAACATAATCATAATTCAAATTCAAATTCCATAGAACTAGGATAAAATATGAAAAAAAAGATTTACACGGAGACTCCTGAAAGAAAGTAGGAAAATAAGACCAGATGTTCCGGAAAAGTAAGCGTCTTCTGCTTTATCGACGATACCCGCCACGTAAACCTTGTAAAGTAAGTAATGTTGGTAGATTTTTACAGCTGCTTAATTTACGAAAATAAGGTTCTGTTTTGCGATACTAGATATATTGTATGCCGAGTGCTATAAAGTACAATCGCCTTCTCTTTCCTCAGTGCCAGGTGAAAGCCCCCATCAGGTCCACCCAGCGGCTATGAAGTACGCCTTACGATACCATATACAGACTCTGTGTCGGTCTCCACATTGTGTTAATTCGTTGGTCCTGTATCTCAACAGCCCAGCCAAGACAGATGGGACCATGCTTCTATGGGATGTCAACAATGACGGTCTGGTAAGACTTGTTTGTTTGTTTGGAGGGTTATGTCCTCGCGACAGCTAAAGTCCTATAAATATGATATTCACGGATTATAGGACCACTCAAGGACGCTTTTATAGTGTCATCAAACTGTAATAGCATAGCATGAAATAGATAGCATCACGTCCATCAGTAATTACTACATTAACAGCAGGCTATTTGATATAAACTTAAAATCATGAAATACAATATCATGTCTCTGTCAAGCGTCACAAGGCGTAACTCTCTCGTGTTGGCAAACGTTAAGGCCAAGGCCAAAAGTTTTGCCAAGTGAAAGTATAGGAAGAGAAATCATTGTGATGGAAATTCACTACGTGGTTTGGGTTCGATTCCGCGAACGGACGTATAAAAGGTATGAGGTAACATGCCAAACCATGCACGTTTTTCTCTGGTAACTCCAGTTTTCTCCCACAAAGGCCGAAGAGAACGATAAGGGTGACTGATGTAAATTAGTAAATAACGTGTTTCGCAATGGTTGTAGGAGGCAGACAATTGATAAAGAATCAAGGTTAGTTGCGTTTTATAAATCATTCCATTAATTAGGATCTGAATACGCTTGTTATGACCTATCATCAGGGACGGGGCTTGTGGGGTATCTTTTATTGTACAATAATGCTGAAGGAACTCAGATGATTATGTCAATATCATACATCGAAATGAACATAAAGTGGAGTATATACAGCGATATATATTGCCAATTTGTATACAAATATATATAAATCAATATAGGGTGTCTCTATCCGTCGGTATTCATACACATGATAATATCAAAATATATGGATGAATATATAAATTGATACGAATGTGTATAAACACAGATTTTAGTATATTAGTAAATCCTACCTAGTGTACTGATTCTGGATTACTTGTATCAACTGTTATCAGTTCCTATAATTGACAATAGGGAGGAAAACATGATTATTCGCCTTTGTTATTTCTTTTAGCACGGATATTTTTTTGGAAATTTAACGGATTGTTATATCGATATTCAGACAAATTAAGTTATTAAAATATCTAAAAATACACTATTAACATATATGATAAACCATAGATATATATGAAAATACACTATTAAAATATATATATATATATATATATATATATATATATATAAATACGCCATTTATATAAATAAGATATCACTATATATATAAATACCATGGATGTATGCACTAATATGTAAGTTTGTGTATTTTGTGTATAAGGCGAGGAGACCAATGTGGTCCCTAGTTCACATTCTTAGAGTAAGTAACATTAAAAATTTTTAAAAAAATGTCTTAATTTCTTAATAATTTATTCGTCCGTATTGATGTTTAAGCGTTGTGATTGATTATATAACTCGGTGTATAGAAATCAAAAACAGTGTTTACTTACCAATATTGTCAAGTCTCACTCGGACAAAATACCAGCAAATTAGGTGTTAAAATGCGTTATTAAAGCGTCAGGTCACTACCTAATAAGACTCCTTAACGTGATGATTGTTCCTGGTCAATAACATGTTTTTAAAATCATCGTGGTACCATATTTATCGATAAACGTTTCCCGCTTATCTCTGTGGGAGAAGACATGCAGATAGTTTACCGACCCAAATAAAATAATTGAAAACCATTGATTATTTTCCATGAACAAATGACGAATACTGGCCTTGCAAAACAATCTATATTGACGCTGAGAACACTGTTTTATCACCGATATATTCTGCAGATTTGTGACCATGTATTGACATTTTCATTCTCTACCGTTTATATCTTTTGTATCAATCAGATTTTTTTCCCTAAATAATAATTAAAAAATAAATATGCATCGATGATAATCAGCGTTTATGACATGAAGGCCACAGGTCTCCAATCAGGTTCGTCAAGATGTCTTGTGGTGTGTTTATGTATTTCCGATAGCTCCGGAATATCGTTGTAAAAGTGCATTACTGTCACCACGGAAACTTTCAAAATAACTTTGATTTAAATTGATGTGAAATGTGGTGAGAAAGCGACATTTACAAACCTATGAAAGGAATGTTTAGGCGTTTTCATTGCATCAAGCCTACTTGTTTAAGTATGATAAAAGCATTCCGCCATTGTTATACTTGTTTACAAAAATATATATTGACGAAAGTGTTTGATGTATATATTATCAATATGAAGTACAAATCTGTATAAATGTTAGTCAAAATAATTAAATCATTCTATGAAAAAAGTATACACGAAAGAAATTAAGAAGGACATATGTGTCTTGTCACTTAAAAACGTAACAAAAGTTATTATGTATTATGACAAACGACAGAGAGCACACGTCTTGACAGGGATATTTTCGAATAGAAAAAAAAAAGTAAAAAAAAATCAAGCGTTTGTTATGTTGTATTTTATTGTTTGTGTTTTGTATAAACTGATATGCAGATTCCTATACTGTAACTATGTAACCATATACTGTTTAAAAAACATTGATAATGAATTGGGTCAGACTATACCATATATTAATATTAATGGAAAAACACATTCATAAGCTTATGAAAAGATTATTCATCCTGAACAGATTTTTTTTACTACAATGATGTATATAACAAAAATTGAAAAGTTTAAATGACCATGAATTGAATACTCTCTACAACCGTAGTTTCCAGGTGTAAACACAGCTGGGAGAAAAATGAAAATTTTGAATCAATTTGAGACCACACGAACGTAAGAGTTGGAGTATTTTTGGCGCATTCTAACCATTTGTTATCACACTATAGAGACCTTATCAGATGGTCGAGGGTGGTCTCTATTCATAACCTATGAGAACATTTTCAGTCACGGTCAGCCATGGAGGTAGAAAGCAGGAAAATGATTAGGTTTAATATAAATAGTTTTGGGACTGCACCTCATTCGTATAAACAGACCGGTCATCATGCTGTTTGGCTTTAGATACCGAAAAACGCGAAATCACACTGATGGTGAAAAAACTCAAATAAGTAAAAATTGCCAAACTTATTTCACGATACGTTAATGATAAAAGCGAACAATTCGAGTTATAATTTTGCTTCAAAGTCCTCATGTTCATTATGTTTAATCAGGACATCTCTGAAAGCTATCTCCAATCTATTGAAAGTTTACGTCCCGAGAGAAATATTAACTTGCTATCAGATATATGCTAAGGGAGGCATTAAGGAGATTATTTCAAGAATTACTGTCTCTCATGGTGTTCGTTATGTTTTTATGAAATCTATCTTGTTCTTGAACGAAATTCTTGAATGAGTTATCTCTATACAAGAGGTTCTTAAAAAAAAATACATATTTCTCTTCTTATAAAAAATATCCGTTCTCATTAAATACAACATGTCGAATCAGACTAGAAACTAGTATTATCTTGTATCTAACTCTACCTTTTAGGCTGAGGATAACGAGAAGTACCTGTTGAGTGAACTTAAGGAGGATCTCACGCATTGCTCAGCAAGTTTTGTACACGTGGTTGTGGACCAGAGTTACGCTGGACAGATCGGAGACGCCTTTCGGAACTCTCACCGTCACCGGAACGTGATTGTATTCGCTAGTGGGCGTGACAATGAATACAGTTATGATGGGGAGTACACGCGCCAGTGGGTCAAGGCCAATCACACGCAGGAATGCACGTGGCAGGTACACAAGGTATGTTGAATATGTGGCCTTGTAATAAAATAAAAAAAAAAAAAATGAAAGAACGACACAAATAATTATTCTATAATTATAGAGCATTTACATTTTAAAAATAGTATGTTAAAACAAAACTTTATTATATTCTGCAATACAACATTGGCATATATAGATACTGTGTCAATCCTTTACCGAGCATAGACAAACGGACTATCATTTTTCTAATGATGCGTTTTGATGTGCCTATTTCCGGAATCGGATAGCTGCCCATTGTTTTGTGTAGTACAACCAGCATTCGAGAAATCTTCAGTAATAATAGACTAGAGGTAGATTTTTAAGCAGTTTTAAATTAAAATGTCCGAAATATTCCAAATTAAATATAACTTAGTTTATTCACTTTTAACTATGTAAACATGTAGTGACAATACTGAATGTGGTAACATAAAGTAAGAACTCTTTACAAAAGTTTCAAATGTGAGTCATTGATTATTTCAAATTATTATATAAAACAGAAACATTATAATTGGGTTCAGCATTTCATAGAAATATTAACAGGCATCATCTACATTGTAATAGAGGTTTGCTCAGCATTAACATAAGCTGATGGCACCAAATGCATAAGGGTTTTAATCTCGACAACAATATGCACAAAACACCGGTATCAAAAAATTTAAACATTGCCCACATGAGAACATTATAAAGAATGTCATATTTTGATTGGATTAATCATGATCATCTTGTCAAACCTGTCCTCCATTATTGTGTACAAAATCATTCATTTTACATGGTGCATACCCTTGACAAGCCTGATGCATACGACAACATACAAACAGTATTGATACTTTGGCATTTTAATAATAATACTGATTTATTAATGTGTGATTAAGATCACGATTTGAAGGTTGAAGAGCAGTAATTAAGTAATAATGAATTAATCTGGTTAATTTAATTCGACGTGCAACTATCAAGGATTAATGATACGTTCAGCATTGACAGCGGGTATTGACAGAACATATACTTTAATAGTCAAAACAAAAAAAAAATCCGCACATTTCAAATGACATATTCCATAGTACGTGCGACATTGATATCAGGTAGGCTCAATGCACTGTAAGGTACTGGAAACTAGCAAAGGTTAAATATTGCCCCACAACCATGCACTCTGTGATCATACTAGTTGATAATATTTCGTTGAGGTAATAAAGGGCTGGAAAGGGGCTGGTCTGTCCCGTATGTAATTATAGACACACGTATTGAGGTACAATAGATAATGTCAAGGGTCAAAGATTTACGAGACTTAGTCACATTCCTGACAAGTGTAAATATATATTAGTTTAATGGCCTGTATGAAGAAGGAATGACGCGTGCACACGATTAAACTGAAATAATAGAACAAGCCGTGGGCTGGTCTATTGATCGGGCACCAAAACGGCTCGAGAAACATTCCTCGGAAGTGTAAAACACAAATTTGGCTAATCATGCTGGTAATATTAGGAGCAACGCGAAATCGATCTCCTAGAGTTTGATATCAAATCTTCTAATTTTATCAGCTGGTCTTTTGATACTTAAAACCAGTTTTATCTATTTAAAGTCGTTATTATTTGGCAGTATATTCAACGTGTGATTCAGAAATGATATGTGAACATTCACAAGTAATCGGAGACATGCTAATTAGCAAACCATCACCTTGATATATGTCCAAATTGTGTCAAAATTAGATTATCAATCACACTGATAATTGATACCCGTCATGTAAGGGTCATATCAAAAAATCATATCACGAGTTTTTTTTTATCCTCAATTTGCATCATCATGTTGTCATTGTGCCATAAATAAAGCTGTTCACCTTTGAATGTACTCGCAGGTTAACTGTTTGTAATCATGAAAGTGTTAATTCATATAGCTCTTGGTTTTTTTTTTAATTTTCCAATTGAATTGGACGTACATACAATGCCATGTTTTGATTTTAAAAGACAGTTCGTCTTTTAGTAAACCATTCATTTTGTACTTCGTGTGTGGTATTTATTGGGCACAATGTTTTGATCACGTGACTGATTATTCCTGAAATTTCCTTCCATTACTAATTCATTCATATTTTTTTTTCTCTTTCAGCACAGTAAAAATTCTATCAAACATTCAACGCCGGAGGTGAACGAAGGGTCACGTGGTGCAGTGAGAACAACATTGTTTGGTGCCCCATGCAACGTCATACCACCTTTCACGCAGCGTGAACTTCGTCGCGAATATTTGGGGTGTCAGTCCCTCCCAACAGCTCTCTGGATAACGAAACTCCTTTCACAGTCCGAATACAAGTCAAAGGATGCATCGCCATGGCGACGGAAATGACGTCGAATAAAGGGAGGTTATCGTGTCTGGTAGTAATCAGACCTTAATTTCCTTCCATAAAAGACCTTTCTAGAAAGGGAGGATGCTGCATGTACTTCAAACAATTGTGATACAACTGTTCGTGTGAAACAATTGCTTTAAACACCACAGTTATTGCATAATTGTTAATGTTCGTAGTCCAAGAAAAGAGTTCAAATGAGTGCATAAAATGTTCGGTTAAAAAAGGCGCTGAAACAATAAAGTCGATTTTCGCCATACAGCTTGTTAAGCTTGGGGATTGTGAACATTGTATTGCACCGGCACATGACTGGCGTTTCTAAATATCATAAGACAAAAGTGAAAGGTAGCTTGAGCCTCCCAGGGTAAACTACCCTTGCCTACCGATAGTATTGCCGTTGTGTTGTAAACAAACCAAGGTCAAGCATATCGAGCATGGGAGATTGTGCATTAAAGTTTGTGTCGACAAAGACGATTTTTCCTCTGTAAAAACAGATTACATAATATCGTGTATCAGATGGTGAAAGAACGACGCATTATGCAGACAGATGTGTGCTACGTCACATACGTATCACAAATGTACTGTACACATGAAATGATGATGTGGATGTTTTTTGTGTTGATGAAATCAGCGCTTGCATTATAACGCTGTTGGGTAGTTATGCCCAATATGGTCTTGTTGGTAAAGACTGGATTATGTTGATAATTTATATGTAGATAAATTTTGGATGTATACAAACTGTTGAATGATATGTTGTGCATTTGTTGACATCAAAGAAATAATTGTTATCGTAAATTGTACATCTTTGTTACGTGTATTCTTGATCCCAATAAAAATACTGTAAATCGTCTTTTTTGTTGGTTTAATATTTTGGCGGATTTATGTTAAAAAGAATCATCGAAATTTATATCAGTTGTATATCAGTATTGAAATGATTTTCTTCCTACATATTCTGAAAATCTTCATCGAAAATTTAGAACGATGAAACAAGAGATCAAAGAGGGATCTTGGCACCCACCATTGTTTGATCTTAATATGTCCTTTGAAAGTTGGATGTTTTCCCTTCTTTTCTCTTCTCTGTTTTCACTCTTAATGATAAGGCATTTAAACGTCCCTTTGCAGAAATAGCGATGATAACATTTACCTGCCAAATCTAAAATGGCCGCCTTAAAGCCATTTTGTTTCTTCTGATCAGTCCAAAGGGAACATACATAAGAAATGTGAGAGATATCCATTCAGTACTTCTTAAGAAATAGCAATAACAATTTTTACTAGACAAAATCCAAGATGGCTGCCTGTCTGCCATTTTGTTTTTCTGATCAGTTCCAAGCCCAAACAGGCAACTAGGGATCTAAAGGAACATACACATGAAATTTGATAAAATATATATATAGAGTAGTTCTCAAGAATTAGTGATAACAAACTTGTGAAGTCAAAATCCAAGATGGCCACTTATGGGCCATATTGCTTTTCTGATCACTACCAATATCAAATTGGCACAGCTAGGGACCAAGGGGAACCTACATATGGAATTAAAGAAATGTCTATTAAGTTCTTCTCAAGTAATAGCAATAACAAATGACGGGCCATTGACGCAAAGCGATTTGAATAGCCCAACATATGATGATGGTGGGCTTATAAAATACTAGTAGCATGAAAAAATACAGTTATCACCTACACAATGAACATAATCAAGTACACAATTAACAGAACCTTACACACAATTCATAGAATCATGTACACAACTAACAGAACCTTACACACAACTAACAGAATCATGTACACAACTAACAGAACCTAACACACAACTAACAGAATCACGTACACAACTAACAGAATCATGTACACAATTAACAGAACCTTACACACAATTAACAGAATCATGTACACAATTAACAGAACTTACACACAACTAACAGAATCACGTACACAATTAACAGAATCATACACACGATTAACAGAATCATGTACACAATTAACAGAACCTTACACACTATTAACAGAATCTTACACACAACTAACAGAATCATGTACACAATTAACAGAATCATACACACAATTAACAGAATCGTACACACGATTAACAGAATCTTACACAAAATTAACAGAATCATGTACACAATTAACAGAATCATGTACACAATTAACATAATCTTACACACGATTAACAGAATCATGTACACAGTTAACAGAATCATACACACAACTAACAGAATCATGTACACAATTAACAGAACCTTACACATAATTAACAGAATCTTACACACGATTAACAGAATCTTACACACAACTAACAGAATCACGTTCACAGTTAACAGACTCATGTACACAATTAACAGAATCATGTACGCAATTAACAGAATCATACACACAATTAATAGAATAGAGTACACAATTCATAGAATCATGTACGCAATTAACAGAATCTTACACACAATTAACAGGAATAACGTACGCAATTAACAGAACCTTACACACAATTAACAGAATCATGTACACAATTAACAGAACTTACACACAACTAACAAAATCATGTACACAACTAACAGAACCTTACACACAATAAACAGAATAATGTACACAATTAACAGAACCTTACACACAATTCATAGAATCATGTACACACAATAACAGAATCATGTACACAAAACAGAATAACACACAATTGTACACAATTACACACAACTAACCTTACACACAACCTTACACACAATAAACAGAATCATGTACACAATTAACAGAACCTTACACACAATTCATAGAATCATGTACACAACTAACAGAACCTTACACACAACTAACAGAATCATGTACACAATTAACAGAACCTTACACACAATTCATAGAATCATGTACACAACTAACAGAACCTTACACACAACTAACAAAATCACGTACACAACTAACAGAACCTTATACACAATTCATAGAATCATGTACACAATTAACAGAACCTTACACACAATTCATAGAATCATGTACACAAATAACAGAACCTTACACACAACTAACAGAATCATGTACACAACTAACAGAACCTTACACACAATTCACAGAATCATGTACACAACTAACAGAACCTTACACACAATTCATAGAATCATGTACACAACTAACAGAACCTTACACACAATTCACAGAATCATGTACACAACTAACAGAACCTTACACACAACTAACAGAATCATGTACACAACTAACAGAACCTTACACACAACTAACAAAATCATGTACACAACTAACAGAACCTTACACACAACTAACAGAATCATGTACACAATTAACAGAACCTTACACACAACTAACAGAATCATGTACACAACTAACAGAACCTTACACACAACTAACAGAATCATGTACACAACTAACAGAATCATACACACAACTAACAGAATCATGTACACAACTAACAGAACCTTACACACAATTCACAGAATCATGTACACAACTAACAGAACCTTACACACAATTCATAGAATCATGTACACAACTAACAGAACCTTACAAACAATTCACAGAATCATGTACACAACTAACAGAACCTTACACACAACTAACAGAATCATGTACACAACTAACAAACCCTTACACACAACTAACAAAATCATGTACACAACTAACAGAACCTTACACACAACTAACAGAATCATGTACACAATTAACAGAACCTTACACACAACTAACAGAATCATGTACACAACTAACAGAACCTTACACACAACTAACAGAATCATGTACACAACTAACAGAATCATACACACAACTAACAGAATCATGTACACAACTAACAGAACCTTACACACAATTCACAGAATCATGTACACAACTAACAGAACCTTACACACAATTCACAGAATCATGTACACAACTAACAGAATCATACACACAACTAACAGAATCACGTACACATCTAACAGAATCATGTACACAACTAACAGAACCTTACACACGATTAACATAATCTTACACACAACTAACAGAATCTTACACACAATTAACAGAATCTTACACACAACTAACAGAACCTAACACACAATTAACGGAATCATGTACACAACTAACAGAACCTAACACACAACTAACAGAATCACGTACACAACTAACAGAATCATGTACACAATTAACAGAACCTTACACACAACTAACAGAATTATGTACACAACTAACAGAATCATGTACACAACTAACAGAACCTAACACACAACTAACAGAATCACGTACACAACTAACAGAATCATGTACACAATTAACAGAACCTTACACACAACTAACAGAATTATGTACACAACTAACAGAATCATGTACACAACTAACAGAATCACGTACACAATTAACAGAACCTTACACACAATTCATAGAATCATGTACACAACTAACAGAACCTTACACACAATTCACAGAATCATGTACACAACTAACAGAACCTTACACACAATTAACAGAACCTTACACACAACTAACAGAATCATGTACACAATTAACAGAATCGTACACACGATTAACAGAATCTTACACAAAATTAACAGAATCATGTACACAATTAACAGAATCATGTACACAACTAACAGAACCTTACACACAATTAACAGAACCTTACACACAATTCACAGAATCATGTACACAACTAACAGAACCTTACACACAATTAACAGAACCTTACACACAACTAACAGAATCATGTACACAACTAACAGAACCTTACACACAACTAACAGAATCATGTACACAACTAACAGAACCTTTAACAGAATCATGAACACAATTAACAGAACCTTACACACAACTAACAGAATCATGTACACAACTAACAGAACCTTACACACAACTAACAGAATCATGTACACAACTAACAGAACCTTACACACAACTAACAGAATCATGTACACAACTAACAGAACCTTACACACAACTAACAGAATCATGTACACAACTAACAGAACCTTACACACAACTAACAGAACCTTACACACAACTAACAGAATTTTCGAAAGGATATTCATCTTCTGATTTATTTATGAGATCATGATTGAGAAAACAAATCAAAATAAATCTCGTGGCCTTCTTAACCTTACCGAAATATCTGATCGAGGGCTGTTGAAGTGTATGATTTTAAAAAAAATCATGCTATGTTTTTTATACATACTTTCAAAGTAAAACAAAAATGCTGGGTGAATGATTTAAGAATTAGGGTCTGTCAGGTATTATCTGTGCCGTCCAAGAATCCCGAGAATAATTGGTGTCGTCGATGGATCAGTAGGCTCTTACACCTTGGAACGCCTGGTCCAAGTACTTTGACATTGGTCTCCGTGTACATTTTGTTGCTTTAAAATTGCAATCATTTCGTCGGTATTTTTTGCTTGAATAAAAAATTCGGTTGACATATTTGTATTTTCTTGTTGGTTTAAGGGAGACAGTAAGATATTTGGAGGTATATACTGCATAACCTACAAAATTGTATTAGTTAATGTTTTTATTTGCACGACAACATCACTGTTAAGTAAAACGTTAACGTGTAAAAAGTTGTAGTATGAGCACCATATCTCGTCAAACCTTTGACCAATATCATATCATTAATGATAGAATAAAAAAAAAGAAAAAACAACAAAGAAAACACCTAATTTGATAATACACATCAATACAAATTTTGAGTTACACTTTCAGCAATATGTGTATGGCATTGATGGGCGTAATCAATGATTTTATACACACTTGTGATACTTAAAACTTGTGTCAGTGATAATAAGAATAAAAAACAATTAA